GGTTTAGGGTTCAGGGTTAGGGTTGGGGGTTTAGGGTGCATGGCGGTACTGCCTCTGATGCATCAATATTCTGAGGCTTCGCTGTGGATGTAAGTTTAGGCAAAGGCAAAGCGGGCTTTGGAGATGATCTTGACATGTAGTTAGACCCTAATCATGTCAAAACCGTTGTCCAAGAGAGTCCATATACTCTATAGGGGCCTTGGTATCAGACCTCTCCGGCTTTACCCTGGTGGAGCTCCTTGCTGCATGGCTCTTACGCCGGAGCTACAACAGTTCCGGCATCACTTGTGTTTCAAGGGTTCGGAGTTAACGCCCTGACAAGGTACCTTACCTGTAGTCTCCATTGTACTTGCTTTCTAGTTTAACCAATATTATATCAAGGATTTCATAAGGCATCCCCAAAAAGCAACTACAATGGAGACTACAGGTCAACCAAAACCTAAACCCTAAACCACTAAACCTAAACCCCAAACCCCTAAACCCTAAACCTAAACCCTAAACCCCTAAACCCAAAAACCTAAACCCCAAGGTACAAGCACGACTTCGTGCGTGCGATGGCTTTTGCCACTCCAATCAAGAGCCTACGAGCGCTTCGCTCCTGGGGCTCTGAGGGCCTTTATAGGGTTTAGGGTTTAGGGTTTAGGGTTTAATTTAGGGTTTCGGATTTAGGGCTTAGGGCTTGGAAGCCTTCTGAGGGCCTGTGGGTTTTAGGGTTTTTGTATTTAAGGTTTCAGGGTTTAGGGTTTAAATTAATGTGTAGGGTCTTTGTGTTTAAGGTTCAGGGTTTAGGGTTTTAAATTAATGTTAAGGGTTTACGGTTACGGGCTTTAGGGGGTTTAAGTGTTTTTGGTACAGGGTTTAGGGTTTTAAGTTAATGTTAGGCTCTCCATCACCTACTTTGCTGTTTGTGGGTGCGTGATGTGGTGGCTGTCATGTAGAGCGCATGACCTAGAATCCGAGGTTCATGGGGATTTCACCTGCCGACCGTGGCTCATGTAATCAAAATGCATCGCTGGACGCTCTGCGCTTGTAGTTATCCAGAACTAGCCTAAGCCTTTAAGACCCAACGCTGGAAGCCATCTCTGGAATGCTGAGAGACGGAAACTAAAAAGAGCCTGCGGCGGCTCTGCGAAGCTAACCACCCCTCCTCCTCCTCCGACGACGACAACAAGCTGCTGCTACTATTCATGATACGAATTACTACCCTTTCCCGAAGCAAAATCTGTAGCCTAACCCAAACCTTGAGCTAAACCATGAGTTTTTCAGCTAATGTCATCGTCTTGTTCAATGACCACCCTCACGTGGGAGTTCGTTCTCCCATGCGGCAGGGGCAAAACCAGGATAATCTTTACAAGACAACTCCGCAACCCTAAAAACGCTGCTGAATTGCCTCGTTCTCTCCGTGGTTCGCCGCTAGAGCCTCAACCCTAAACCCTAAACCGAAACTCTAGAGCTTAAACAGAAACCTAAATCTCAAATGTAAACAGGAACCCTATGACCGTAAACAGAAACACTAAGCCCCAAGCCCAAACCCTGAAACGC